GGTGGGGAGCGAAAAAAAACTCCCATGGGAGAAAATACAGTAATCCTTTGGGGATGCTGTCCCAGGGGATTCCCCCCTCCAGGCAGCTCGGTATATTATGGAGTATTGGCACTAGTTTAGACTTGGACTGTAATTCGGTAACTGACCAAGAAGCAGCAGCGGTTTGGAGCTACCTGTACAGAAGTAGGCGAAGTGGAAGTGGTACAGCAACCATTTGTTAATATATGCTAGCGAGCAGGATATTATTTTCTTAGTTTTCCAGCTATTTCTGTATTAGCAAGTTATGACAATGACGTTTGTATACCTTTCATAGGTGAAAAGAAAACAGTTCTCTTTGCCGTATTTGTGAATGGAACTTTGCGTCAATGGATAGTTTGTTGATGTTTTGCTACAGTCCACTTGATAACGGCAGGAACGCTGTTGGAATGGACAAGACAGGATTTGTGAACATTATAGTGAGCTTGTGGTTGTCCACAGCAGCCTGGGTTTACAGCAGAAATAACAGTCAGAGTGGTTGTTTTGAAGATGACAACAGCAGATCTCAATCTTTGGCAAGGCACTGAAACTTGGGAATGAGGCCGGCTGAGACAGAAAAGCGAGTGACTGAGACAGCAAAGCAGCCGATGGAGCACTTGCGGGAACAGGCTGCACGTCAGGAGCCTGTATTCCTGGCTGAGATAAAAAAAAACTATTCATCACAGCAGCAAACGAATATTCATCACAGAGAGAAAAAACTGCAGCAGCGACAAAGGTAGGGAAAAGTAGAGCTGTAACACGGCCCATGCCAAAAGATGAATGCATGGGAGAGGAAAGGAAAAGGAGAGATGAGGAAATGACGTGAGGAGTGATTGTGAGCTGAGGCTCATTGAAGCTGACATCCCTCCCGAACTTTCATTATAAACTCCATTTAAATTTTCAATGACTGTTGAACAACAAGCTTTGAGTTCTTAGAGACACAAAATCAAACTTAAGAACATTACATTTACTAAAACCTAAATTTCACCTGAATGATAGAACACTAGCTTTCAACTGTTTATTATTCAATCTTTGACTGAAGAGGATTAGAGCTTCACTACTTAACATGCTCATCTTCTAAACATTATTTGGAATCAAATACACATCAAATGTTGAAGTATATTTGGCTGTTCAGTAATATTTCTGGAGATCTGGAAAATTCTAAAACAGGTAACACAGATGTAGCACATAAATGCTGTCTCCTACTCTGCCAATCAGATTTAATGCTTTTTAATAGTTTTACAAATGTTATAATAGTGATACAAATGGGCGGTTCCGAAACTGGTGAAAATCAGTAATTGACCGAGCGGCTTACTCAATAAGTGAAATAATTATTCATAACCCCCAACTTGTACGTCATTTCTAACCATCTTACCCAATCGGCTAGTATAACTAGAGGCACGTGAATTCTTTATTCTTTGGCTCAGCTTTGCTGGGAGGAGTAATAATCCAGGCACACTTGGTTAAAACAAATATTTATTCGAATAAACTACACTAAACACAACACATACAACAAGGTTACATTATATATAGAAGTTACAGATAAGGCGTTTCAGAGCCCTAACATTCTGGTCACCCAGAAAACCCCAGACTGCTACTAAGCACTAAACATTTACAAAGGCCAGACGAGGTATTATTTAACTTAATACCAAGCAACCTGCAGTTAAATCTCTATCTCTGCACCCTGGATGCCACAATATAAATGGGAGCCTATATTCCTATCCATAAAATGCACCCTAATCAGAAAAGACACGTGAGGTATCATTTACCCAGGAAACCCAAATTCCCTAAAAACACAGAATAGCATGCTCTAATAAGGTTCATATACTTAGTTCCAGTCAGGTTTGGTTTGCATGATCAAGACGTTGGGGCCTGGCACAAGTTTCAAGAACCAACTCCTCTGGACTCCTCTCTCATCTCTCTGCTCTCATCGTTTCTTCCTTCTTCCTCCCTCTTTTTCTTTCCCCCCTCCTGTGCTCTTAATGTGATCTCATATTGTCTCTTTCTGTGCTGATCCTTGCCAAAAAATAATCCACAACTTCCCTAGGCATACTAAGGTAAACTTTACCATTCTGTCTGCTTAAGGCACCCCTGCCTTCCCCTGACCTCAGCAAACAACCTCTCTCCTTTGAAGTTAGAAGTATTTACTCTTTAAATATGTTGAAAACAAAAATGGACATGAAGAGAACGTTTGGAGTCTCTGTTAGGTTAAAAAGGTAAGTACAATTTTGAACCACTTATGCATTTACTGTATCACCTAAAGTCTCCAAATCTTTAGGATGTACAAATTCAGTTTTTCTGAGGAATTATTTTTCTGTGGAAACAATAAAAGTAAATCATGTAATGACAAAAAGAAAACCCACAAAAATATATTACCACATCAGTATTCAAGGGAAATGAACAAATGTTTCTTCTCATCTTGCATTTCATAATTCATAACAGACAATTAAGTCTTCAAATCTACACAAATATGTACCTGAGAGAGTCATCACACATTGCAAAAGTTTCCGTCCTTGCTGAAGAATGTGTGATACAGCATAGATATTCTGTCTCAATTTTGGTTGGATTTGGTTGGACTGTAATTCAGACCGTAGCTCTAACCAGCTGTGGGTGGTGACACATAGAGAGAGGCTGAAAAAGTGGAATTATTGAACCCAGCTGTGGACCAAAAAGCCAATAGGACTAAAACACTGTTCTGACACTAAAGCAGCACTTTGGTATGCTGGAATTGCAGTAGAAAAGATACTACTATATTGTCCGTGTGTTTATCTTTCCAGGAGTGTGTGGTCCTAGACTCTACCAAGTGAGGCCATACTTTTTGATACTGACACTGAAAAAGGGCACCTTTCTAGCAAATCCTTATAAACAGGACAGACTATTTCTGGTAATACAAAAATAAAGTAGTCTAGTTCTAGCACATTGTAAGTTTTTTTGGTGGGTATGAGCTTTAAAAACAGTTCACTTTTATAGTAAAAAAAACCACTAGATCAAAATTAAAGAATTACAAAGAAAATAAGAAACAACCAGAGTAAGCATATCATAAATAACAGTAAAGGAAATCTGCATTATAGTAATTTCCCTTGGATGTCCATACAGTATACCACACCCAAACTCTGCTCTTCTTCAAAGGTGGCCTATTTTGTATTGTTCTCAACCTTTGGTATAATATTTATCCCTCTCCCTCTGACTTCATTTAATATCAATTTGTTTTGAAAACAAAAAATGTGAGTCCTGGAATAAAATGTAGAATAAAATGAGAACTTCTGAAATCTTCATGGATGAAATGAGACCTCAAATGAGAATGCAATTTTATTTCAGCTGCTCTTTGAAATTGGATAAGTTAAATGGAATTAACAGCTCATTTTGCTTACAATGTCCTTAAAAAAAAGATCCAAACTTTCAGGACAGACTTAGACTTTCAAAGATAAAGATTTTGACAGTACTGAATAGATCCGATATTAGTAACTATTCTCCTTTTCTGGCAAAAGATGAAGATATGGGCAGTGTGCCCTTGAGAGGCAAAGAAATTGATCTGCAGTATAGTAAAGAAAAGGACTTTTCTGGGTATTAAATCTGGTACTGGTCAATGGTGCCTGAAAATACTGGAGCAGAGCTCTTGAAACAGTCTTTTGTTTTTAGTGTCCTTAGATGAAAATAAAAGACTGAATTGTACAATTTTCTTTTTCAGTGAAAAGAAAGTGAGACAAATTTTATTTTATTTACCTTATTATGGGACTGCCATTATGTGAGGTGAACAGATGATGAACCCTTTTCTCCACAGTTTCATGAACTACACTGAAACTCTTGCCAGTATGCTGTGAGGCTCCAAGTCCTTAGGGAGTCACAAGGAGATGGCCACAGCCAAGCAGGTTAAATCAAAGCATCTTATTCACAACTCCGCAATATCACATTTTCTTATAGTTTATTCCTCATGAATTACTTTTTAAAAGAAGTTAGCAGTTGGTAAATGAACACTGAAAACTAACAGCCCTTAGAGTAATATCTGTGCAGTGTTTAGTGTCAACGCACAAGAAAAATTTATAGGAAGAACGCACTTTATTCGTACACACCCTACTACAAGGTAGAAGTAAAAAGCACGTATCCAGGAAAAATAGTACGCTCAACAAATTTGATGAGACACTTCTAAATACAGTCTGATTCTGATTACATTTTGCAGAGATGAGACTGTCACCTCAAACATGAGGGGGCAGAGTCAAGATTTCATATTCCTTTCTTTACCATAGGATAGGAAAACCTTATTATATACTAAACTCACAATTGAAATTAATGTATTTATTTGTTTTTGGTTGTTTCAAGTTACAAAACCCAGCGCAGTCTATAATGCAATTTTGACCTTTTTAGATGCATCAGAGGCAACTCCTGTAAAGGATTATTATAATTATAATTTTGCAAGTAGCAAGCATGTTTATGTTTAAATTATTTTGATCATAATCTTGCAGGATTTTGTAACATTCTACTATAAAAGACTTTCGCAGGAAGAGTTTTTGTACATCTCTACAGATGTTTCTGTAAGGAAGCTTTAAAAAACCCTGAAGATGTACAGTACATATTGACTTAGAAAGCTGAGCACTTCCTCCACTGCCTTCAGAGAATATATACCAACATATCTGCAAAGACAAATATTTTCTGCATGTCTGTATCTTTACTTAGCTTTGAAGTGAACCAAAAAGGTGCAGCTTTTTTGCAATAGAAGAAATTAGGACAAAAAAATCAAATATTTTTTGCAATCTATAAAATCGTTATGAAACATATTTCATATAACCAGTTTCTGTTTTCATATTAGTCATGAACAAATTTGTAAACCTATAGTCATGGACTAGTGTGCACTTTATACACAGAAATGTGTCATGCAGGTTTCCTCCCATAAGATAAGCCTGCTCTATAGTTCTTTCAAAATGAGTATATGCTTTTGAACATCTATGTCTCCACCTACATATCAGTCTAGACAGGAAGACCTTGATGAATAATTATGTTTTATCTTTTTAATACTGTTATGGTTATTAGAAGTAACTATTGAGGTGTCTCCGGAATATGGGGACAGTGGTCAAATATCAACATTTGTAGTTCTCAGGAGCTTCAAAACAAAAAAGGAGCAGAGCTGTTGGCTGAGTGGAAGAGTCTAAGACACACCGATCATAGGAATTGTCTGATTTACCTTGGTTAATTAAGTTCAGGGTAAATGATTGATATTAACAATTGATGACCAGAGGATAAAAACCAGAAAAAGGACAAGAAGACACTAGAGAAGTAGAGAAGAGACAGTGCCATGCAAGAGGCACTGATTAGCCTTTAAGACCAGATTCAAGTTAAGTATTTGACTCTTTGCAAGATAACCTGCCATTCTGTTATTTTAAGGAAATGCTGCTTTCCTGTATAGAAAATCCATAGGTTAAAAACAGTCTTTCCTGGTCATTGGATGAATTTTTAGAACAGGGAGTTAGCTTCCCATTTATCTTGTAGCATCTGGGTTTATATATAGAGAGATTAAACTCTAGTTTGTATTCTGTTAGGTACAGAAGGCAGGTTTATCTCTATTTTGTGGCTGATTTCCTGGTTGGTCAGGAAGTAGGCCTTCGAGACACCTTGTTTGTAAATAGTGTAAATTATATGTTGTACTGTATGTTTATGTTCTGTTGTCGCATTATTAACAGGTATTTGCTTAACCCAATGTGCCTGATTTATTACTTTCACCAAAGGAAAGAGAACACAGAACTTTATTCTAAGTGCTCATTAACCCACACGGTCTATTTCTGTAAGTTTCTATTTTTTTAACCCCTTTTGTAACTATACGCTCTAATACTGTATACTGTATCAGTATTACAGTCACCAGCTACTAGATTGTCATCAGATCAAGAATAGTTTTGCAGATCATCTCTTACTACAAAACACTTCAGTAGTATTTAAGGTAGCTGCAGAGTCCTTTTCATTATTTACGAAATGTTTTATTCCTGAAAGTATAGAAAGGATTTCTCTAAAGCTGTATGAGCAGGTTTTTTTTTTACTTCTGCAAATTGCCTTGTTTCATTTGCTAACATAGTGGAATCAGAACCATATTTTACACACAGCAAGTGTAATTTAACTGTTATTTCTTATGGACTCTTCCAGATCCATTGATTCAAAATGGGTTTTGTTTTAACTTTGTGAACGCATTTAATTTAAACTCAAGTCATGACATGTCTTTATGTAGCTTTAAAAACGAATCAGTTAATATATCCCTTGCTTTGTGCTCCAGTAAAACCTTGTTCTTAGGAGGTTGTCCCAAACCATACATCAATGATGAAGGTATATTTTCAACTGTGAAATTACAGCATTGACAGAAGCCAAAAACTTTCCCTATAATCATAATTTTATTTTCAAATCATCTTGATAAAGTGTTCTATGGTAGGCTGTTTTTAGGCTGAGAAGTCAAGTTGGCAAAACATTTTTGCTTACTCAATAAAATGCTTATACTGTATAGTAGTTGCTGGTTTATTCAAGATTATTGTTATTTTGCGTGAACTGCATATTCTGTCAGGAAGGAAGCTGCTTTTATAAGTAAACCACAAGTGCAAAGGGTACTATATATCTTTGTGACGTCAAAACCTCCCTAGCACATTCAACATTGTTTTCTGGTATACCGAGCAGAATATACAACAATTTCAGATACACACAAGCAAAACATGTTTCATTTACTGAAACTAATGTTCATACCAGGAATCATAGGTGAGTTGCGAATGGGTAAGTACATTTCTTAATAATATTAATTAATTGCTTTTTAATACCCTTTCTATTTGCCAGGTAATTCGTACTAGTTCTTACAATCTACACAGTGTAACAATATATAAATTATAGAAATATCATTTTTGGCAATAGCAATTAGCACAAAAACCTAATTGAAATTCTAGTTATGATACTGTAATACTGCTTCCTGTTAGTGAAGTGTGAACACTAATTAACACTATTGGACTGTAGTCTTCTACACTCTTGCTTTTCCTTTTTCAGTGGCCACTGATTCACAAATAACTGCAAGGCAGCATCCTCAGAAGATTACAAGTTTCCCTGGTGGAAGTGTTGCCTTCATATGCGAGTTCAACTATGTGGTAGCTAATCCTCTAGTAATAGATGTGTCCTGGCATCATCAGAGTGATGTCCATCAATATACCTTTGCAAAAGACAACGCACGTCTTGTTCAGTACAGTTCAAATATTCATTTACATGGCAACTTCTCCAAGGGGTTTTCAGTTCTTGTCATAGAAGACATTCAGCCAAATTACACTGGTACATACTTCTGTGAAGTTCTGTTAATTCAACCCCCACCTGTAAAGGTTACAGGAAAGGGAACAGTGCTGAAAGTATATGGTAAGATAAATTAAGGCAATTTTCTCCCATCGTTCACTTGCACTCACGTGAATTATATAATAATAATAAACTTTATTTTATATAGCGCCTTTAAAGGTGGCTTCTCAAAGCGCTTACATTGTATTCAGGAATTTGTTTCAGGAATTCTAGATTTTCATACAGCTAATGCTTGATAAATAACCATTTTTCTAATAGAAATTTCATAATATGTAATTTACGCAATTAAAATTACAATTCTAATCCTATACATATTTTTCTGTTTCTATTAAGAAAACTTTGTAGCAGAATACTTTTGAGACATATCTCTTTAAATAAAAGTCAAAGTTGTCTTCTTTTAATAAAACAATAATGAAGATGAAATAATGTTTTTCTTACATAGTACAAACATTTTTGGCTGCATCTATTTGTACTCTTTGCAGATAAAGAGGAATGCAAAGATCAGAAAAGCTACTGGTGGAACTACATTTTCATAGCTTTGTCTGCAACCTCCTGTACATTGCTATTTGCTGTAATGTTTATGCTGGTAAGAAACTTCAATGGCATGATTCTAAGAAATGTAATGCACAGTTATTATTAGATTATAAAACACAATAAACACAATTAATAATTTCACATTATTTATTCCATAGGTAAGGAAATGTCTGGGCAGAGCCAAGCATATAACAAATAAAGAACAAAGAAAGAGTGAAAAAAAGATGGAACCTATTGCCACCATCAGTCAAGAGTACGAAGATATGACATTTTTAAGAAGCCAACCTGCCTGTTAAAACAGAATAGTAGTATTAACTGTGGAACTTCAAATCAACAGGCTGTGTGAAAAAATAGAAAAGACAGTACTTTTGCAGTACAGTACAGAGACAATATGTAAGGAGTTAAACAGTAAGATGTGTTGTAAGTAAAATTACATTTATTAACCTTTGCAGTTCTACATAATTACAGCTATTTAATGCAAAAAAAAACATTTCATTTTGTAGAAGTTATTCAAGTATTTTAACTATAAAAGCAGCTTATTTTTACTGTACCTCATTTGTTAAAATTGTATTACTGTATAAGAAATATTTTTTTCTCAAGTAGCACAAAACGTAACATGGGAAAATGAGGCTGTTTCCTAGTTTTACACACATCTTCAAGGCAATGTATAAAATGTATCCTTCTTTATCTTTTGTGAAATGTAAAAACATTGCTGACAAAAATTGCAATTATTTGTAAATAATTTAAAAAAAGAGAAAATTTGACATTATCATATTCCTGTCTTTTTTTATACTGAAGATGAATCTAATTTCACTTACTATCAAAGTAAAATACATCAGGGATGTTTTTCTTACAACTGTTTCAAGATTCAAATCAAAACAGTCACAACTACACTACGTAACATTATAATATTCTTACTATGCTGTATGCTTGGTGACAATATAATTTATGACCACAAGACATTCATCCAGCAAACAGAAAAGTTTGTTGTTCCACAGAGAACAGTACTGCCATTTTGCTTTTGAGTGCAAAATATAATTTACAACAGTTAAACAAAGAAAACATTTATAAAGAGGAAATACATGTTAGTGGAAAAATGTGGAATTTGGTATTCCCTTCCATAACGTTTATACCTATATTTCTAAAATTATAAGTTAATGAAACCAATTTTCTTTTCTGAGAAACCTCACAGCATCATTGTATCCATTTTGACACAGCTTTTCCATTTTCTTCTGCTCTGGTGGAAACAGGGCTTGATTGAGTCTTATGAAATTATCCTTTGACAGCTATAAAATAATAAAGAAGTACTTAAATACTTAAAGAAGTTGTAAAGAAAAATATCAACTAACATTTTCAGGATGTTACCATCTATTTTATGAGCTAGCAAACACATTAAAACAATAAACTACATACAACTGACCAGGTTATTGATTAATTAAAAATGAAGACCAAAATCTGTTGACAAAAGGAAAAATGGCTCTCTTAAAACATAGTTCAGTACAGAAAAGATGTTTCAAACACTCACCATAATATTCTGGTTCATTACTTTGATATTAAAATTCAAAAGTCCATCATGCTCTGGACAGATATCCAGTTGACCACTAAAAGGAGAAATCAGAATAGTACGGCCTTCTGGAAGAATTGGAACACTGTTTGTGATTCCCCCATCTATCCACTTCTGTGAAAAGAAAAATAGAAGTTTCATTTAATATGAAATTTTCTAAATGCATTTCAAAGTTCCGAAGATATTTTTTGTCAGACTCAATTCTTAAATTGACCACCGAAATGCTTTACAAATCACTTGCTGAAAGATTTTGAAAACGAGAGGTCAAAAAGTCACTGGCACACAATCTGACCACAAAGTCATTTTTTTGTTTTCTGTTTGAATATTGCAAAAGAAATCAGTAAGAAAACCACCAGGCTCATTTGTAATTTACTGATGCACAATCAAGCATATTGCAAAGAAAAAGAAAATAAAAGACTACTATTTACAATAGTGCAATATTTACTTCTTAGATCATTAATTATATGAATAATAGTACAAATGAATAATTTTGGTTATGTACTGGCAGATTACTAAGGATTACTACTAACTAGAAATTTGAATAAACAATATAAATGAACACATGGTACAAAAACAAAAAGTATATATTTAAACAAACTGGTAATGTGAAGTGGATATACTGTAGGGTACTTAATAAAATGCAGGTCAGTTTTAAAATTGATTACGGGTACTGTCTACCTTAGGGAAAACAAATATCTAAAAAAACTAATAATTTATGTTAATTTGTGAATTACACTGTCTTGTGCACACTATTTACATCTTCTTGTTCTACTGAGGTACTTCTATGCAGTTGACCTGTACCTTACTGTGTAAGCAGCTATGGATGACTGACTAATAAGTTTGATAAAACTGTTGAACACAAAGCCCACAAGCGCTGTCTGCTCTGTGATCTGTAAGGTTCTGAGGTGTTTATTTTGCGCATGATTAGAGACATCAAGCCCTGTCTCATAAGAAAGCATATGGATACATAATTTATTAGAAAATGCATTTTAATTTTTGATTTTGTGTTTGTGTTAATATTCTAAACATTGCCAATGTGAAAATTTAGCACCATAATATGTAAAAGTGCATTTTACAATCTTCCAATGAAATCTGTACAGTAGTGCCACTGCACATAGCATTTGTTTTCTGCATCATGTACTTTCTACATTTTCTACTTCACACAGTGGTTGTGCTCTTGTAGGACAGATTTTCACAATCCTGCACAGCTTTGTGTTCTTTTGGAGTTGTTATCTGAAATGACACAGCCCAAAATGTATTAGCTGGAGAAAGGCTGGGGCTGTGATCCAAAAGGGTGACGCAGAGGTCAAGATTTGTCTCACGGTTAAATAACTTTATTATCATTTGTTTGTTATACTGTACGCCTACTGTATGTAACATCTGCAGTACAAAGCACCATTTGTGAAAAGTAATTTGACACAAATACTTAACACATGAATATTAGCAAGTATCATGCCTTCTTTTTTACACTTGGAGGACAAAAGTGAGTTGTCCTACAGTTTTAAAATATTGGCACTTCTTACTGGATTTTCTGACACTTCATCTAGATTGAAACAAAATGCACAAAGTAAAATACAGAACTTTCTTCTGTAAAAATGCAAACAAATTTCATGTCTGAGATTTTTGAAGGTAAGCCTCTGACAAGCAGGATATATTTTGAAAAAGAAAGAAGTGACTTGAAACATACAGTATGAATTTTTAATGTTTCACCAAAAAAGGACTTGGCTGCCTATCCAAAAAATGAAACCACAAATAAACAGGGTTAGGCAGCATTTGTTTACAATCTCTGTGATTAGTTTCAAAAGAAACATATCATTTATGACTGAAACAAATTAATTTTAATGTCAGTTCAAATTCAATGATAAACTTATAAACAGGAAAACCATCCATTTTGTAGCTGTTGTACTGACATTACATTGAACAGAAAAGGCTAGGGTACATTCATTGATTAACTTTAGTCATCAACAGTACCTCTACTGTGAAAGTCTCATTTCTCTTTTAGAGCCCGTTCACTGGTCTCTGAGCGCTAAGTGCCACATTTTACCCCAGTTCATCTCACATATTTGAGGTGCACCTCATGGCTGGTGAGTGGGACTTCCAACTATCACATTCTTATTTCATGAGGATGTCATCATTACACAAGCAGCATTAAATGTGATTAGATCAGGATGAACCTTTAGGAAGGGTGACAAATGTGGTGCCAGGACTTAATCAATGTAACACCATACATTCAGGTTAATATCATTGAATACCAGGGGAGTTCTCTAGCCACCAGCCACTCTCAGACCATCACACTTGGACTCCCCTAGCAACTGGTCTGCTGTCCAGACCATTTTGCACGTCTGTGCCACAACTTCCTACATCTAGGTGGTCAACACCAAACCTTGGTTCATCACTAAAGATGACACACTTACAATGGCCTGCGAGTCCACCTGATGCCAGTGTCCCACACACCAAAGACACAAAGGACTGCTCTCTTGATAACCAGGGCCTATGAGTTCCTTCTTATGTTACTCCCCTTGATTTTTACCAGGAATTCAACAGGATACCTCACCTTATCACAGAGCCCAATCTGCTCTTTCATGAGAGAGGCGATTTAGTATTTAAGCAACATTCAAAGTCACTCAATGGAATCATGGTCAGTCAAAGGCAGATGATTTTCTAAGAATAAGCATGCACAGGGTAATAAAATTCTATATATATATTCTATATATTATATCTAAAAGAACAGCTAGAAAAGCTTACAGTATTTATCATGATTATGTTAATTAAAGGGGAACTCCAATGCTATTTTTATATTTTGGGGTTAGAAAGAATCTGCACGGATGAGTGCATTTCAAACCACAATAACAGTAAAATGCACACAGTAACTTGTAAAACCTACAATTTACATCACAAAAAAGACTAAATTGCGGCCTTATTACATTATAAAGAAGCAGGCTTCTGAATACATCTTTTAATGCAATAGAAACATTTCTATCAATTCTAAGACAGTTTTGCTGACAAATACTACTTATTTACTTGCATGCAGATCACATTGAAACATTTCTGTGGTGAAATGTCTGTGGTACCACATGTACTTATTTGCTTGCACATCACATTACATTAGTCACTATGGTGACTAGTGAGCAGGAAGGACCATATCAAGTCGCAATTAGCGGGAACTCGTACTATCGCCCGTGGTGAGACCAAGAGTGTGCAACAACATGGCGCAATTTTGTGTTCAATTCGAAATTTGTAAAAAAATGTTATCAAGTCAATGAATTTATTTTGCTACAGAGATTTAAAAAAACACTTTCCACTTTAAAATTCTTATACATTATACTTTGAGATATAAACTAAAAATACACTTAATTTGAATAGGGACCTCTTGGCTTTACCCTTTGGAAACCTGTACTGGTAATTTGTGATTGATCTGTAAGTCAAACTCTTGATTCAATACGTGTCATAGCCTATTCATGGTAAGTTTGCATCGATACATCCCTGGAAAGTCATACAGATTTGAACTGAGTTTAACCACAGTTACTGTATGTTTTTCACTTTGACCTGTGAAACCTGCGATATTTCCATAACATGATCAGAAAAATTGATTCAACAGCGCTGGTGTATTTAAAGGCCCCCAAATCATCAATACTTTGCTTTTCCTTGTACAAACCTGCATAGTTTAACAGTTTTAAAAAAATACCGTTAAGAGAGCACTCATGTCAAAAATGATTTAAAAAATAAGATGTATAAATTGACAGTTATTGACAACTACAACTGTATGGCACAAAACTGAGAAGGGCCTAGATATGCAACTGAGCTGCACCGGTTCTGAAAGAGTCCCTACCTCTCCTTTGTATTCCACAGCATTAATCCCAGCGTAAACAGGCACAAAGCTGCTGGCTAAAAGGACCTTCAGAACAAACAGAGAACAGGAGTTAAAAGTGAGGCTATTATACCCTGGAGGCTGAGGTACATCTCCAATTAAGATGACATTTTAAATGCTAATTAAAAGCGAAAGGTTGTGATTGGAAATGCTGCATATAAAGTGCTTTTTAGTGCATTTATCTGTACGGACAATAGGACCTGCACTTGACATAAAGCGCTTTTGCTTGTGTAGATGGAGTAAGTTCAAACTGACGAAGGTGAAATTGGCGTTCAAAGTCCAAGGAGTCCTTTACTTGTAAAATGTATGGTAGCTTCACTATTTTATAGGCCTGGTCTTAATAGAGAAAATTTCACATTATTATCTGCAATGTAATATGGCTTTTACGGACACATTGTGTTTAATACAATACAGAATTACAAATCCTACTAAAATGCATTCAGTTCAGAAGGACAAAATGTTTGGACACAGACATATCAGTACTGTTCATTAACAGTTCATTATATGCTTTTTAATTATTAAAAAAAAAACTGAATTTCATAGATGCAGGAAAGAAGAAATAAAATGCATGTTAATTTCCTGTACAGCTTTATGTTATTAAGGCCTAAACACACAGATTATTAAAAAGAAAAAAAAAATCTGTGTTACAATACTGGACCCTCTAACCTCTGAACAGTATTTATCATTTATTTTTCCCACTGTTAAGATTCAATTGTTTGTATATACTGTATTTATAATTGTGTTTACATGTGTACACCCAAGTGATGGTGAACAGACTTATATGCACCTTGCATATAACACAATTACCAAGATGTATTTCATTGAGTTGCATTTTTATAAATGTGCTGATCTGCATTTAATTGCAGCCTCATATTTCTTTGAGTTGAAAGTACTGCACATTTGTTGGATACCTTAATTAGTTCTTCCCTGGAGGCAAAGCTCGAGACGATGCAATTTTTTCCAGTTTTGGAATGTGTGATTGATACATGGAGGCAATTCCCAGCAATCTCATGGGCATTTGGAGGCAGAATCTGCTCCATCCCTTCCCTGGAGAAAAGGAAATGATACTCATTTTTCATTCTTAATTATTAATACCTCTGTTTCGTAAATATTTTAACAGACAGATAGCTGGGCTTTCTAAATTGGCAAGAAACCAGCTTGCTCAAATCAACAGAGGACTTGATTTATTTTTTACATTTTGCGTTTTGAAGCACTTTCCAACAAGTACACAGTGTAATAGAATAATATACTTCAAATTAAATTAAATATAGCTTTAGATCAAACATTATTTTCAAGTAAGCTAATATGGTGTCACAAAACAAAAACTAAACTGTTAAGTGTTTTTTTTTCTTGGCCTCCAGGAAGGACATACAAATTATAAAATTAGCCAAGTAATTAGATATACTCCCTTGACAAAATCTGTCATAAGTAGAATATTAATGGCAGCTACAATTTCACAGCTAGAAAAAGCTGGCCAAAAACAGTACATGGCATTTGAAAAAGTATCAAATGGGATTTTCATTGGTAAATTTTTCACTAGACTCTTATGCAGATGAGGTTAATTTACAAGCACATTATCTTATGAATTGTGCTCAGACAGCCAAGAACGATATGCATAATGCATCTGGAAACAAAAAAAAACATTATTTCTACCAATGGGAGATGCCATCAATCATTCATTACCTTTTACATTGCATATATTTTGTATTATTTGGTCTGATAAGGTCAATGAATTTACTGTTCTGTTCAAGTCTTGATCTGATCCAGTCTTTGACAAAAAAAGTATTTGAAAAAAATTCAACAAGCAATGTGGTTAACAGCATTTACCTCCATCTTTCCTTTGAAATACTTGAGTATACCATTTCCATTTCTGCGTGGAAACCGTGACAAAACTTACAATCATGCATCTTGAGAGGGTTCTTCTAGTGAACAGTCACTCTATAAAATACTTAAATTTGTCTATGACTAAAATATTGTTAAAACACATCAAATTTTGATCACTCAAGTCAATCTTTGGTTAACTTTATAAAAGTGCCACTTTTGAGAAAAAAATTCTAGACAACCTTAGCTGAGTTATTGAAGTTAGGAATCTTGGTGCCCTGTTTAATCATACTCTGGCACATACTCAATACATTTTTCCACTTTTGTAATCATTGTTCATATCCATGTGTCTGCTGAAAAACTGACATACTGTATGCATTTTTTAATCTTGACTATAGGGGTGGATCTAAACACATACTCAATCAGTTTCAAAACTCAGATGCCCTGGACGTTTTAACTTAATTCCCCTATTTTAAACAGTGGAGTCACTGATGTGCAGACTGATAGCAGATTGCAGAAGCTAAGCAAGCCTGGCCCTGATTAGTACTTGGATGGGAAACGAACTATGGGGAAAATGGTATTAGTCCTATAGGTGCTCTTCCCAATAGACCAGATTTCTCAACCCAATGTGCCAGTTTGGTGAGAGGGGACACTGTGCTATAGGATTTGCCATTCTTCAGAAAATACAGATTGCTCAGAACAGGAGTGTTAACCCTGGTTTCCAAGATAAACCTTAATTTACACTTATACGATCTGGCCTCCTTAATTCAACTGCTGAAGTAACTTCTCCCTTCTCTATCTGATCAACTGTCTAGTGGCACTTCTGTCACATAACACCTGCTAAGTCTCACCCAGGTGGGTGCTGTACTTCAGTGATGGATGCAGTTGTCCAATTTGTGAAAAATGTTTGCATACTTTGGTATGAAAAATACTATACAAATGAAAATATTACATTTATGGAATGCCCAGAATTTGCCTGTATTCTGTTTTAGGATGTGAGGATTGGAGACAAGAGTTCACTTATTTGAGACTAATTACCCTACCAGTAACACACCCATGAACAAATTAAATTAATAAATAGCTCAATGCAATAAAATTGGTCAAATATAGCAACTGGGGTTTCCACTCTAGAACTTACAGTACATATGTTTACAATCAAAATTACAAAGAACTACTCCCCCCACTATAAAACAGGCAGAAAATTAAAAAAAAAGTCACATTACAGACTACAAATAAATGCAGTACCTCAGTTTTTGCATGAAATCATATCCTGGGGTCATCGCTCCTAGTCTCTGTCTGCGGACCTCTTCTGCAAAACTGTAAGTAAATTCTTTGCAATGCTAGCAACAAAAAAGAACATAAGAAACAGCTGGTGAATGGGGTGACCCCTATTTTTCTCATTTAATTGGTTATAGATTATTGTCCATAAGCTAAAAGATCTTGTCCAGCCATTTTGTTAAAGAATTCCTGATAATCTGCCTCTACCCAATGTGTGGACATTTTGACGCTTGAAACCCTATGTGTTTTCTTATATCTGTTCTAAAATAATTTAAATATCTGTTTCCACTTGTGTCTTTGGTCCACCTAGAGGTCAGGACATATTCCTCTAGGTTGAGTTTATCAGTACCTTTCAGGGTTTTAGATACTGTATTTGTATTGATTCAGTTCATGATCAAATAGATTGAGCTTCCCATAGGCTGTCCGCATAAAGCCAGAAATTAACAGTAGTACCCTCCCAATATACAATAATAATTAAATCAGCAGTGCTCCCTATTCCCTGTATGGTCCCTCGGATTGCTACAGTAATTTTAATCTTATTTCAGTGCCACGATATATGTTTCTTCACACACACATAAAAACATTAGATTTTTTTCCCCATTTTCATTTCACAGGTACTGTACCTCTATTTTGTCTGGCCCAGTTACCAACACTGTGGCTACAAGAGCACCTGCTGACGCCCCAGCAAAGGCTTTCACTGATCTCAGCAGCTTGTGTCCATGTTTCTGAAGAGCACAGGCAACCCCAAGATGGTATATTCCCAGAAACCCACAAGCAGCAAAAGATAGGTTCAAGAGAGTCATTTTGGCTAAAAGTGAAAAAATATATATTATTGGCCCTCAAAAATAAATTTTCACGTAATTTCAACAACACATGATATACTGTACTGTACAATCTAGTATACATTTTCATATTACCATATAAATAATTCATACATGTGTAGCACAAGTGATAAAACGCAGAAAACAACTTGTAGTATTTTCAATCACTTGTTCTTTTATTCGCAAAGTTTAACATTCATCCTCCCATCTAAGTGAAAACAGTGGATTAATATCCAAAGGATTAAATCTTGACAATATGTCGATATACAGTAGTAACAAGCACAGGTCAATTCCACGCTGAAAAACATAAAGGCGAAACAACGTTTTTAGCTGTAGAGTCTTCGAGCTAATTGAATTATATAGTCTGATTCTGTAATAATCTGCAGTCTGACAATTACATAACCTGGACCACAATGTTAAGCAGCAGCTTTGAGAGTTCATCATGCAAACACAAAAACACAGCAACAGAGCTAGTCCTCTGCTCATAAAAAAGTGAATAAAATCACATCTTAATGCACTGCTACATCTGAAAGCAACAGTCTTCAGACAGTAATTTATCATTTTTTTTACTATCAAAGAGAGCAAAATACATGAAAATATTTATTTCCGTAAACTACCTACGCGGTCAAAATGAGGGCAAGTGGCACAGACAGTATACAAGACAAAAACATGTCCGGCTGACACATTCTTAGCAGCAAGTCTTGTGCAAAAAAAAAACTTAATTGATCTCTCAACATAATTAAATTAACAAACACAACGAGATTAATTTTGTATTTGGGTCGGTAACACTTAGTTTAAAACAAAGATCAGGACCAGGAAACCAGTGCTTTAATTTTAAATTCTTCTAATTTGCCTATTTAAAACCAAAAGCGAATGAAAAAAAATGTTCAAGTACAGTTAAAACTTAAAAATCGAAGCTCAAGATAAAAGCTTTCTATCTGAATTTTATCACAACGTAACATTTTAATTAATTCAATTTATCACCACTCTGTGGCTAAATGATTTTAAGTAATACATTAATGCATACAAAATAAATACCAGGTGCAAGTGTAAAAAAAAGCCTCAGAGAATGTTTTGTATTTTTGTCTTTGCAACTGATACGATTAGGTGCTAAAATGGATAATTTAAAATTGTGGAAACTCTTGCTTTTGTACCATCGAAAGGTTACAAAGTGGACACAAACGTCTGTACCTGCTATTTAAGTTTCTGCTACAAAAGATCTCTGTATACTTGTTCATTCGTCGTAAATCAATACTAAGAAATCGCATTGTGTTATTCGTGCATTTGCACATTTTGCTTAGTTCTTAGCCCAATAAAAGTCGCTCTTATATTTATCTTTGCTAGAAAAGAATAGGTTTTCCTGCCGGCATATGGCAAATCCTCCTGTAAAGTTTAACGATGAACTTCGGATGCTTCTTCAAATTACTGAACCAAAACAAAAGCAGATTAGCTTGGCATACCTGCACTAACTGCACAACCTTAATTATGTACAGTATAACACTTTGAAAGATTAGCTACCCTTAACTGTCACACAGTATTTACGCAATACTGTAGTTTTACTTTTTGTTTCCTCACAGATTTAACCACCGCTCCAAACCTCGCCTTTCTCTCTGCCACAAACCAAAGAACTGCATTACTAGCTTACGGCAAGCGAGAAGGACACAGCAGAACAAAAAGAGTAGTAAACACTTTCGAATGCATGTTAAGTAGTAATACTTATACATAATGCCATTTATCAGGTAGTTTATACTGTAGATTGCAGCTGATGATGCAGAATGGACCTGTAAAGGCTGTCAGTAATAATACACAGCCATAGCAACAAATTGTCTGTCCTTATAAGATTGCATATCTACTAGAAAATTCTAACACTAAGAATATATCCATTGCATGACATTGTCTTGAGTACTACTTCATGACCTCTAAAGCAAAACATGCATAACGTTATGTACAGTAAACTGTGGTAATATTTACAGTACAGTTTTACTTTCAGTCATTGGGTATTCACTTTTATACTTATTGCAATTTATAATTGATCTAAAATAGCTTTTATCTACTCTCACTCAAAAATTATTACTGAAGCTTTACCTCACAGCAAAACTTCACAGCCCTGCTTCATTTGATGAGCCCCAGAAAGACCAAATCCTTCATGCACTTTCTAGATATTTAAGGTAAAAATCTACTTAAAGCCCGGAAAAAGGCTTCTCATTCTATTGTAACAGATGTTGTGTGAGCATGTCAGTATTGTGCTAAACTGCGGTATCTGCTTGGAAAAGAAATTATGGTGAGCTTGCATGTTAGTTGCCTTTTCTTGTGCTTTATACTTTGTGGCACGACATATCCAGCGAGTCTGTGCTTTTGCATTCATTTCTTAGAAACGTGGAGATGAAAATACAAGTACAGTGCATCTGCATAATGAAACATTTAAACTTTTTGCTTTTCATCACAATCACGGTTGCCTTGACCTTGGGGTGAGTTTGAAAGGCTCCTTTTCATAAGGAACAGATTAGTGTGATTTGTGTGGCTTTCTTTTTTAAGCGTCGGTTGCATACAGTATAGCTGTTTTTTCACCTTTCTGTGATGCATGTCATTTCCACCCACACAACGGCAGGCAAATAAGAGACAAATAATTTTTTCAACACAATAATGCCATTTGCAGTCTTCCGTTTACTTTTAGCAGAGATTTTCTTCTCTAGTGTTTTACTCCATGGAACACAGGCCAAAGAAGAACATAAACATAAAGACGTAAGCCCCAAAAAGTGAGTTTAATATTTTCAATTGAATATTTTTAACAGATGCTGTAAGTAGAAGGACTGAATAATATGTGGGACATTTCAGTCTTAGTAAAATGTCATGAATGGTACAAAAATGTTTTCCTTATTGTACACAAACCTGTTCACATAATGTTTTTTGTACATCATTCTGTACTGAAAAATCATCACACAATAAACCATGATCCCTACAATGTTGAGATAAACATTCTAGTATGAACTGTACAACCACCTCAGAAATGCAAAAGTTTGCTATTTTTGTTACATGATAAGTGTAAGAATAAATATACTAGGCCAAATCTAACAGAAGTTTACCACATGGATAATAAAGAATATAGAATATAGTGTAGCAGTGCATGATTATCTGGGCTGTGTTTTACAGCGGCCTTATGTCAAAGATAACAGAATAGCTTTTGGAAAACTCCAAGTCCAAAATAAAGAACAAGAAGCATCTATAGAGACTTTATTTCAACTTTGCGGTGTGATTCTAAATAGAGTGGGTGAACGTGGGACATTTATTCACTATGTGATGCTCTGTCTCTGCCTTCTGTCCAGATGCTTATCTAGAGTTTCTAAGTGCTGAGGTTCTTGAATTTGTGTCTGGAGTGGGCCTGGGAAGTACTACCGCATGGGCTGGTTTTGATCTTGTACTTCTTGTTACATTTGATGAAAAACATAACTACACTTTATGCTCAGCATTATGCAGAATAACAAGCACAGGCAGATGGTTATGCATTCATTTTGATCAGTTTTTTGTGTATAGTTTTCTCAGTAGATTTATAGACAGCTGCATTTTCCCATGTCAAACCTGCTGTTTTAGAATTAATTGGCTACTCAACTGCTCATTCCCTATAAATAAATGAAACTTTTTTTTTTATCCAGTTATAGTGCAATGAGAAAATATCTACATTTCCCTTTAGAACTAAACGTTATATAGGAATATATACACAAAAGATACATTGAAGAAAGATGTATTTTACAAAAGAGAGTTATAAAACAGAGTTTATTGAAATGAGCTCTTAACTGCAGTCTCACTTTTAAGAAAAATGCCCTTTTAGTATATACTTTTAACTTCTTCTTCTGACATTCTTCACAATTCATCTTTCATCCTGTACATTGTCAAGATCGGACTAACACCTGACACCATCAGTGTCTGATGCTACAAAAACTATACTCAGAGATACTATAATGTTTAGCACCTTTAAACACATTTTTAAAATATACTGGTATAAAAAACAACTAATCTTTTCTAATGAACATGTCTTATTAGTTTTTATATGATGTATTTGGGAGATATAGAGGTTAATGTGCGTAATGGTAAAATCTTAAGTGGGAAATAAAATTTGTTTTTTTGCATTACTTCTTCTTCTGATTTTGTTTCTGGTCTAGTTGATTCTTGGATGTCAAAATGAATTAGAAAGCACTGAGATGTGGTGCATACAGTTTTTTTTATTCATTACTGTCAGCTTTAATGTCTGTATTTTACATTCTGCCTCTCTCTATTACTGAAATGTTCATTCTTATCTCTGGAGAGACAATATTAATGCCGTGTTCAACTCACAAGACTCTTTCTGACAACTAATTTATTATTAAAAAAATCACAGCTATAAACTTTTAGGAGATTAATGTGAGCCCAGGTAGGTTGATTGCTGTGTCCCCACTGGATTTCACTAGAAAATTTCAATATTGCTTTTATGCCAGACAAGGAAGCTAAAGTAGAGAGCATTTATTATAATTTATTTTCTGCTGTGCAGTTCTACTGTTGCCTGTAGCAGGTAAAGTTTAAGTTGAGTTCTGAATTAAAATAGGGATTTTGATAAGATAGTTCCCTTTCATCCTCTGCATTTCATTGGAACATACTACCCATTAAACTGCAAAAAGAAAAATTAGTGTCACCGGTCACAGAGCCCTAAGACTAACAGAATTTTCTTATGTGAAAAGTTCCAGCTCTTCTGCACCATGGGTATGTTCGGTGGAGGGGGCGGTGCTCGAGGAGGTACGAGTATTACATCCTGGTGGGGAGGGTTAAAAACCGTCGGGGAGGATAGGTTGTGAATGGAAGAGTTTTACCAACCCCACCCACCTGCTCTCCAGGGAAAGCACATCAGCTAATGGAGATCTCATATTGCAAGTGGAAGAGGGTCAAGGTTGTGTCTCTGTTTAGCAGGTTAAGTTCCCCACCTGACGTGTGTTAGTACTACAAACAGAAAAAGAAAATGTTTGCAGCAAAACAAATTACTAATGACAAATGACAAATGCTGACTCTAATTTTCAGTTGCAAATGCACGAGGCCAAACATCTACTAGTTCAACTTAAACAAGTGCTGGAATTATTTTAAGTGAGCTGTTTGTGTAGGAATTTCCATTATCTACAGGTCATTTGCAGAAAAAAAGCAATTAACATTTAAGCTATTTCTTTTCCCTTGACCAAACACAAACAACCTACCCATTACAATAATATAATAATTATTGTGATATTACTATAGGGATAAAATACTCTGCAGTACTGGAGGGCAACATATCATTAATTAAATTAATCAAGTTATTTTCATTAATGAGAGGAAATCTGATCACTGAAGGTTGTAATCTTCAGTTGCAATATGGAATGATGTCCATATTATAGAGGAGCTCCTCTAATGTCTCTACCTGTGATACTGCACAATACTGTTATTGCAGAGGTTCCCATGATCAATTATGCAATGTAGGGAAGGTACAAAGCAAGTAGTATTCATATTCATTACTTTCTCAATTTTGAATTTACAATGATTGGATTTTAAATACTGTATAATAGGGAGGCTTTTCTCCACTTGTTGAGACTTTATCATTTTAATAAGTCTTTGTATTACTATTTATTTCCCAGGGAAACAGGAGCAAAAATAATTGTGACTCTATGTGCTTCATTCTGACAAATCAGAGCTACTTCCCAATACCTTTGGTGCTGTTAATAGTCATAGAAATTGAAAAGGCTTTAATACGCTTTAGTAAGAAGATTCTTCTGTAAACTGACAGAATGCTTCAGTTGTTCAGTAGTCTAACACTACATTTTCATGCAGTATTCCTTTTTTGTTGTGCAAGATGATGTTCTTGTTTTTTAAGTGTGTGATAAAATAATAAAACAGATATGATATCTGGACTGCTGTTGCAGAATGTTGAATGGTGAAATGTTGTTGGGTTTTTAGAAACTCTTAGTATACAGCAAAACATCAGATCTGCTATCTTTATCCATAGTGTCTTCATCTGTAGTGCATTTCATCAGTGGTTTTTACAAGGTAAGAGGAATCGAAGTGGCCTCTATCAGATAGTTACCATTCACTGAAAGAAAAAAGAAAGATTAACGGTCGTCTGATATGCATTTTCTTAAGAAAGGCAGTTGATAATCTCCAATTGAGTATTTTTTTTCCAATGTACAGTCTGAGGTCATCAAGGAGATCATCAGTATTCAAAGCTTACCCTGTAATCCATGCAATGTGCTGTCTTTCGGAATTTAGAAACATTGGTATTCTTTGAATACTTTGAGTTCATAGTCCAGCAATGTACAACTTAATTTAAAGTTGCTTGTAATAAAAGGGGTTTTAAATGGGTTTCTTGCAGTCAAGTTCAAGTACATATCGTAAGGATTGATTTTTTTTCATATTAAAAAATACATTTCTGCAGTCTTTATTTAAATGATAATGTTAGATGTCGCTTTTGGATGGATTTGTCTAATTAAGAAGGCCAATTCCAGCTATCTAGTTAATATATAAAATAATTAAGAAATGCCTTCTCGAGCAGTATGTTTTCAAATAAGATTTTTAAAACTCAAATAGATTTGGCCGGTACTGCTTCAGAGGAATCTCTTCCTCTAGAATAAATTAATCACTCTTATGTAGGAAGCCGAGCCAGTAAAGTGAAGTAATTAAAGTTCAGAGTGTGCTCGGCAGAGAGATAAAGTCGAAATGAATTTTTTCTCGTTTTTTTTTTCTCTTGAGTGATACAGCTACAGCAGAGAGACAGAGCAAGGTCACAGAGATAAAATAAATCGGTAAAAAGATCAAATAGTTCCAGCAGATTGAGGGAAAGTGTAATTCACAGATTGGGAACAAACAGAAACTGAAAGGGAAAGGTTATTGGAAATGCTAGGAAAATTGGAGGATCCCGAAATGGAATTAAAGAAATGATAAACATACTCTAATATAAATAGAAAATTTGTCACTACACAAAAACGAATACATGTCTGTTTATTTGTGATCATTTTCTCATTTTATAATGATAAATACAATTTTAGGCTCAACTTTAGGCTTTTCAAATCAAGAGCTTTTAGAAAGGGTCAGTGGTTGAAATGTCAATGGTCATTCTGCCCTACTGTACGTGTACAGCAATGTGAACTTATTGTCATTCAAGTCAGTAACACAAATTTGATAT